TTATTCACACAGCCAAACTACCTAGGATTCGCACCCTTTCAAAGCTTGAGGCAGATAATAGCAGTTCCAACTCCAAGCAGTCTTCACCAGTTGGAATTCCCTTCAACATCAAACTACTCTTCCCTTTTCCTGTAATTTTTCTTGCTGTGTGTGGTTTCACTATGTTCCTGTTGTACTTGTAAGTTACCTTTGTCATCAACACGAATATATTGCACTTAGATAATAACCTTTGTTTCTTTGTGTGCAAGAAGCAAATACCCCGGAGATACCTTCCGCCCTTAGGTGAACATCAAATCTGTGACTTAAAAATCTAAATTTGATCAGGGCTTGGTCTAAGTTGCAGCTACCGTAAATTTTCAAACAAGGTCTTCTGAAACCGAGCAATTAATTTTGCTTCCCTTTTTGAGAATGTCGCGTTTTTAAGTAGCCTCCAAAAACTGCCAGAATGTGCACCTAAGAACTTTTTCTTTTTAAGTTAAACGGTTTTGAGTTTTTTGTACAGGTGGGGTATGTACAATGGATATTTACTTACACTCTATGGCAAGAGCACACCAATAAAAGTCCAAGATTTCGCTGGTGTAAACGTGAACTTCGTCAATGTCCGCAAATACGATTTGAGTCTTTCGTAAGCTAGAAAAGCGCTAAGTACAAGGAAGCACTTATGTACTACTTCAAGACACTTTCTCTGGGAATGCAAAAAAGGTTCAAGCGTATTAGATGCTCTTGGCACGTGGAGGTTCAATGAAGATGAATTTTTGCGAATTCAGAAAATTGTAAGTAAATGCAACACAGAATCTCCGTCTAATGCTTTGAGCTAGTGAAATTTTGCAATCATAATAGAATTTTAGAATCTCGATCGTCCATTGCCAGAATTGAAGCCAAACCCAGAACCTTTTGTGGAATACATCAATAATCTTATCGACGAGACTAAGGTAAACAGTGTGTCAGATGTGTGCGAGTTGGTGAGCAATTCTGGATAAAAGTTGTGATGGGTTTGCCAGTGTTTTTATTTTATTTGTTTAAACCAGTATATTTTACGGCTTCATTTGAAGACAGCATCCAGGCAGACCGGGACGGATGGAGACCAAGCGGCAGCGCATGATGCGCTCGCGCAAGTGCTATTCATCCTCAAACCAAACCCGCAACCGTTTTTGGAGAACGAGCCAAGACATTGCAAGTAGTCCGCTACATACGACAACGAGCACAGGTGCCTGGACGCTGCCTTCAATGGTTTGGTTGATTGATAATGAGACTGATTTCGCACTAAACCGTGTCTGGAAGCTGGGTTGTAAGCCCTATCGCGAGAATATGATCAGTGGCCATAAGTTTTTGCTCTAGACCTTTAGGAAAATAAAAAAATCGCGACGGTATGCAGCATTAATGTGAAACTGGCCAGTGATTGTGGCTTTCTTGACCATGAAAAGTCTGTTTCGCATATACCCACAATGGCTGATCCCGGAGGGCGCGCAGGAGCTTGGCACCTTTTCTCGCACCACAGTCAGCACCAGCGTTTGCACATAAAATAAAATAAGAAGGTCCTAGCATCACCGCGCTTCAGATTACTGTGAGGCGAGCAAGCAACGTGAACAATTCAGATATCGCGGTAAACGATTCCAAAATGGAGAAAATCAAAGAAAATAG